ACCCGGTGTGAGTTTAAGCCACCGGGTACGGGACTTGAACCATGGTCGACTACGTGAGAGTCCAGTGACATAGCCATTACGCTAACTGCTAGTTCCCTGCTTTTAATATTTTCAAGGGAGGTTTTGACTTCATGTATTGTAGCCTTCTCCAACAGTTCCATTTGACTCTTTTTTATGGTTTATATTTCTTCTTTCAGCTCTCAAAAGAACCTCCTCACCTCGTAAAATTCGCCTTTTTTCTTTTGGTGTTCATTGTCTCTCTTCTCTGCCATCTCTGTTAGCTTTGTCACAATTAATACTCTAAATACTTTATCTGACATTTCCACAAGTTCCATTGCACTTTCGGTGGTTGAAGAGGAGTTATTCTTTTCCTTTCGGGGAGAGATATTTTCTTGGTTTCACAAAATTCTTCTGCCCCTGTGGTGATTTCTAGTCACCTGATAGGTTATTTGTTTCTTCCTAATTTCTAGAAGATCAGTCTTAGAAATCAGAGGTTCACAGGAGAATGTGATCTGTTAACTCTTTGGTGTTGTGTTTTTCTCCCTTTGAATCACAGATTTAGTAGGTGTTGAGGAAATTGAGGACTGAAATAGTATTCAGATTTTGGCAACATTTCACTTAGACCTGCCTAGACACTCAGTGTGTGGAGGTAGGGTAAATTTTTAGCAGAACATCTTCATTGCTCTTATCCCTGAAATCACTAGATCTTTTTGTTAATGGTGATAGATTTATCTTTCTGCCAATAGATACTCAGCTTTTCCAACACCATTTGCTAAAGAGGTTTCCCTTTTCCCACTGGATTGACTGGTACACTTTGTCAAAGATGAGTTAGCTGTATGTTTTGGGGTTTATTTCTGGAGTCTCTACTCTGTTCCATTGGTCTTCATGGCTATTTTTGTGCCAATACCATACTGTTTTGATTACCACAGGTTTTTAATGTATTTGGGGGTCAGAAAGTGAGATGCCACCTACTCTAGTCTTCTTGAGCAGATGGCATTAGCAAAATGGGTTCTTCTATGGTTCAAGACAAATTCTATGATTGTCTTTTCTAGTTCTGTGAAGAATGTCTCTTGTAATTTTATTAGGATTGCATTAAACATGTAGATTAATTTGGGTAGGATTGCCATTTTGGTTGTATTGATTCTGCCAATCCAGGAACATGGGATATCCTTCCACTTTTTAGTGCTTTTTTTCAATTTCCTTTTGAAGGTTTTCATAGTTTTCCTTGTAGAGGTCTTTGACATCCTTGGTTAGTTTTATTCCTAAGTATCTTATGCTTGTTGTGACTATGGTAAATGGAATTACTTTCTTGAGTTCTGTCTCTGTCTGCTTGTTGTTTGTTTATAAAGATGCTATGGATTTTTGTAAGTTAATTTTGTATTCTGCTAATTTACTTTATGCATGTATTACTTTAAGAAGTTTTTTCATAGATACTATTGAGTCTTTTATGTATACAATCATGTCATCTGCAAACAGAGATA